GGGGGGGAGGTTTATTTACATCGTGTATACATTTGCTCAAAGCTTTATTCTGATAGATCTCTCCAGTTTTGCTTTCCTTTTTTTCTTTTTTCCCTAACACCATTTGTATGCTTACATCCAAGTGCACACCTGGCACGGGCACTATACATTCATGCGAGTGTGCACAAGAGAGAGAGAGAGAGAGAGAGAGAGAGAGAGAGAGAGAGAGAGATTCCAACGAAACAAAAAGAGTTCTCCACCTTCGTCCACCAAATTCAACACAGGGTCATTATAGTTGTATTTAGGTTGAAAGTTATTCCAAATACAGTTATAATGACCGCACGTTTTATTCGGGGGAAGAAGATAGGCCCACAATGAGTTTTCCCCTTTTATGATTTCTTTTGATTTTTCCTTAATCCCAAGCAAAGCAGTGAAGTGTGGTGAGGATATTCACTCAGGAGTCCCACAATCACTGATGTCAGCCCAAACCTACAATTGTGGTTTTAGTTTTTAAGTGTATCGTATTTAACAGTGTGTGGAAAGGATTTACTCACAGCAGTTTTCATAGATTGAGTACATATTTCAAAGCGGGGCGGTTTTTGCGGGTATGAAGTTATCCGTTCAAATCTGTGTGATGGAGGCAGACTGTCCGGCTCTGACAAACACACAACCGTGCGTGACGCAGCAACTCATGTGCGGATGAACACCTCAAAACTCGACTCTCTGATCGTTTTCAAACAATTTTCCCTTACGCCCACGTGGCTCAGGTGGCAGAGCATTTCCTTTATAAGGGAAAGGTCGTCCGTTCAAGCCCAAATGTAGAAAGACTCCTCGGAGTAAGCGGAGGAGTAGGACAAAAACTTGTTACCAAAGCCTACACGTTATGATATTTATAGGAATCTAAACCATTAAAGACCATCAGTACCTTCCTGGCCACGTTATTGGGTGTATATTTTGCCCAACTTCCACGCCTATTTTGTTTGATGTTAGGCAGTTGGCCCTCGACAACATTGTGGCAGGCGACCGAGAGCATCTAATGGTTGTGCGATAGAAGACTATGAACTTCACTCCATCACTCTCGACATGCACAAAAGATAAAAAAATTGGCAATATATATTTTTAGGTTATAACAAAGGGTTCTATCTTATTTTGAATATTTGGAGAGTAGTGGAGCGGACCCTATGTTGTACAGCACTACCACCATCTCACCCTGCGAAGATATAGATGACCGAAAAAGAATCGATCCAGGTGGTTGGCAGAGATGTTTGATTTTCTTCATGTGAAGGCCAAGGTGCCAAATTTGTTCAGGTTGTAATGCTTAGAAGTCTAGCCCAATGAGAACTTTGTACTTCAATACTTATTTATTTATTTATTTTTCTTAAAGTCACGTGGGGCTGCTAGGGGGGGTGTACTTCACACATGTTTAATGTTTAATCTTTAGAGTCTTAAGTATTTGAAGTCGGATAAACAAAACTTATTAGAATGGGAGTTAGACAATATTTAAGATTAAAAATAAAACAAAATTGGATTGTTTGTTTCCTCCAGATTATCCATTGTATATTTAATGAATTTCATTCTCGCAAATAGTGAAGTATAAAAATCACTTGTCTAACACGACAATGAGTTTACCATTTTCATCAGCAAACAACGAAACCTTTTTAATCTCAACCTTCCACCATCGTCACTACTTTGCCACCATTTTTTCCTTCTGCAACCGTTAACATGCCATAATTTTCAGGGGTTGGGCTATTGGAACAAAATAGTTGGCAACACCAGGCAAAAGGAGGCTCACGCTGATTCAATATTTTTTTGGCGCGAAGAACGTTTCCAGGGTTAGAAATATGTTAATCAATAGTATTGGTGGTGTAATAACAAGTAGACTTTTCGACCTAATGCGGCCTTGAAATAATACATTTTTGTCAACATCCATTGATTTCACACTCGTATTTGTTTCGGGTGTAGTACCGCTGGAAAAAAAAAATGATCTTATAAGATATTTGTGAATCTTGCTCTCACTTGGGATTACATTTTTTTCTTTATAGTGACACTTATTTTTCTATCCAACAGAATAAGAAATTTGAGAAATCGATTGTAAGCTAAAAAAGTGTACGATGCTCTAATCCACATGGAGGATGATAAAACTTATGGGCTCAATTTCTTTTGTAAGAA